CCAGCTTATCCCCAAGCCGGAAAAAAGCGGCAGCCATGTAAATGCAAATGCCGCGGGGGATATTTAAATCCCCCGCAGAATTTGCAATTCCGAAGTCTACATTACCATCCCTTTTCCGGAAAGGGGTGCCAATGTAGACACAGCCCCTGTGTGTCCTTGAGTAAGTCCTTCAATCTCGCTGTGTCTCAGGCCCCAGTCTGTAAGCGTACGTCTAAACTACATGGCTCCATCAACGGAGCCATGTAGATTTGTTTGTTTAGCAAAGGTAAATGAAGCCGCGATTTAAATGATCACGGCTTCATTTAAATTTACATGGCTGCCGCGCTGAGCCGACAAACAGCTGATCAGCTGTTTGTCAGCTCAGCGCGGCAGCCATGTAAATTTAAATGAAGCCGTGATCATTTAAATCGCGGCTTCATTTAAATTTACATGGCTGCCGCGCTGAGCCGACAAACAGCTGATCAGCTGTTTGTCAGCTCAGCGCGGCAGCCATGTAAATTTAAATGAAGCCGTGATCATTTAAATCGCGGCTTCATTTAAATTTACATGGCTGCCGCGCTGAGCCGACAAACAGCTGATCAGCTGTTTGTCAGCTCAGCGCGGCAGCCATGTAAATTTAAATGAAGCCGTGATCATTTAAATCGCGGCTTCATTTACCTTTGCCTATGTGTCTAATCTACATGCCTCTGACGACAGAGGCATGTAGTCTAGACACAGCCTAACAGAGACAATAATTCTCTCTTTCTCCCATGTTGTCTGAGTTGCCTATTAGATCGTAAGCTCTTTGGCACAGGGTCTGTCTCAAATGTACTTGTAAGGCACCTCCTGCTATGGCATCTCTATCTCAATGCTACAGTAAATACAAATAATTTACAATTATGATCCTGGCAAAAATTCTGGTGAAATGGGAAATATTAAGCAAAAATTGAAGAATATTTATTGTAATCAAACTAATAATTAACAATTATGTGTGTTTACGCAATACAATGCAAGTACCAGCCGCTTCCTGAGTTACGAACAAGTTACGGACCAACACTTGGTCCGTAACTCGAAGTGTTCATAACTTCGGATCCCATAGAGTTACATGGCGACCACGCTGTTCATAAGCACGGATAGCCAGTCGTAACTTGGATCCGCATTTACGACTGCTTTGGTTATAAGTGCGGATAGACGTAAGTGGAGGTGGTCATAACTCGGGGAGCGGCTGTACAGGCATAGTATGATTTCTAATGGGGGAGCATAGAGAGTTAGTACTATTAATAAGAACAGATCTAACATCCAGATTTACTGATTTAGTAGTATTTAAATCACAGTGTACTAAATGAGTGGGCCAGAGTGGAGGTGGAATGTCTCCCCGTACCCCACTGTGTGGGGCTGGCCAGCCCAAGCACCCACACCATTCAGGGCTGGCCTAAGCCATTCAACCCCCCAAAAATGTTCTTCCATACCCCCTAGAAAAAGCACGTCCCAAAGTTTGAAAGCAATATCCCTACATACCTCTCGAATCTCAGCCTTTGACTCTGAGGTGGTGACAGGTAAGAAAGTACCTAGTGTCCAGTCAGAGTATGAATTTGAAGACTGAACACTGGCAATTAAACTGCCTGTGACCAGTCTGCAGAATAAGAATTATTTGGCAGCATTATGCAGTGAATAACTTTGGTGACTAGTAAAGTGGAGAAAATCACAGTTTGTTTGTGGAGAATTCACAAACAGGAAAGAGGAGAATTATGTGGAATAAATGCTACATCAGGCATTAATGGCCAAGCTGTGTTAGTAACTAATGCGGACCTGTTGGATATTATCTGACCTAAGCAGATCACTTCCCACCCTGGTATAATGAATTAGATCCCGTTGCAAGACTAGCAAATAGATGCCCGATCTGGGGTTCCATTCTCCATGTACAGATCCCCATCCTTTTGCCTCCCTCTTCCATCTATTTGTGCAGTTCTGGAAGCCCAAAGCTGCCCTAAAGCCGGTTTAATGGATTACTGGAGGATTTCTCTTCTCTACCAAAGATCTTCAAAGGGTGAGTTGCCATAACAATTCCTACACTGCTGCCACTGCTGGTCATGTGCAAAAAGGGGCATAGTCGTGGTGTCCCTGTCCCACAATGATCCCCAGGTGCTGGAATGGCCCCTTAGTGCCAAGGACAGCTAGTGCAAATTAAAGCAACCTTCAGTCTGCTCTAGATTGCTCTTATGGGTGACTTGCCATCCACTCCCTCTCTCTAGGAGCTATGCTGTGTGTACCATGAATGAGCCCAGAGATCTGGCCTAGAATGGTCAGACTGTCAGCAAGTGAAAAATAGTATCATCCTAATCAGTAGCTATGCTGATTTATGTCACTGCAGGATCTGGCCCCTGATAGATAAAATACAGAGTGAGACACAAATTGTCATGTTGTAGCACATTATATTTCTGAAATGTTTCCAGAAATGGACAGCTGAATGCTACTTTGTAATATATTCTACAATCACTTTTCATCCGGCCACAGTAAATATACTGAGTTCCACAAAGCTAACGTGGGATTTTGGATGAAACCATCAAAATCCTATTGGTTCTCCATTAAACTTCCCTCAATAGTTTTCATAGAAGTCAGGCTTAGAACTAATTTTCTTGCCTCCAGATCTCCTCTCCTCTCAGCCCCATCATGCAGCATGCCACAGGCTGTGTACTTATGGCCCTGACAGTCCAAGAGATGGCTGCATTACAACAGAGCTGTACCTGTGTTGTCTCTAAAGAACTTTGGGTGGAAGGTGCTACACTGGGGCTACTCAACTTTGGAAGCCCCGGGGGCCACAATGATAGTCACAGCACATGCCGAGGGCTACAACTTAAGTATGGTTGCATAGACATGGGAGACGCCTCGCCGTTGTGGAGCGTGTTCCCACTGGAGGCCACGTTCAAAGGATCCCACCCGCAGGCCATATGTTGAGCCCCATGTAAACCCAAACTGCACCGTGAGCCGCATGTGGTCTGCTGGCCACGTGTGGAGTAGCCCTGTGCTATACCCTCATTCCACAGTAGTACTATTTGCTGTGCAGGGTGTTTGATCAGAGACAGAACATGCAGGAAATGCCTTTATTCTTACACCAATGTTGGACAACAAACAATTCTGCTTATCTTGCTAACAGTAGAGCTGAATCTAGCAAAAATCCATTCTTGCTCACCAACCATTGAACATTCTGCAAGCAAGCCCCTCCAGTCTTCCCCTAAGGGCAGGAAATGACCGCTGTACACAAGAACGAGTATACCCCAAACCACAGAGCACTACGCTGATCACAAGCAATAATGCTTGGCTTCATTCTGGGATTCCTGAGGAGAGAGACTCTCATTATCACTGAGGCAGGTACTAGGGTTGCCAGGTGTCCGGTTTTGAACCGGACAGTGCAGTATCTGAACTTTCTGTTTGGGAAACAAATTGAGAAAATATAAATGAGAAAATATCAATATCTGGTATTTTCTAAATAAGATGTAATGTAGATGGTGATGTCATGTCAAGTGTGTCCGGTATTTTTGTTGAAACCATCTGGCAACCCTAGGAGGTACATCTGGGCTTGAAGCCCCACTGGAATTTCCATTACAGCTCCAGTAGGAGTCAATAGGGTTGCACAGAGAATGGAATGTGGCAAGTCATTTTGTACCACAGAAGCAAGTAGTGGGAAATCACTTACCTCTTTGTTTCCAGCCTTTCGCTTTCCCACCTTAGCAGCAGCTCAACTCTTCTCCTGGTTATATTGATTCCTCTCCCTACCTCAGAACCTGAAAAGGGAACATTGTTGCGGGGGCCATTTGCCCTCAGCGCAGCACCCAGAGTTGGTGGCTCACTGCACAGATCACCGTCTGTGCCTCGGTACAGTGCAGTCCAAACAGGAAATTCTTCTTTGCGAGCTGAGAAACCAGATTGATTGGAAAGGCTCTAGGGAGCCCCACCTCAGGCATTAAACTATGCACCTATACAAACACATGCACACACACAAAAGCCATTGCGGGAACTCCCAGTGGGACCAGGAAGCAAAAATCAAGAGACTCTGTCTGCATAGGGCCAAGCTAACGGGCTGAAGAAACTAGAGGCAACAAGTATTGTTATCGTGCTGCTTGTTTTCTCTTTTGGAACGGGAACCTCTGAAGGGGGAAGCTTAATTACATTTGTTGTTAATGATCTTCCTTATTTTGTCCTGCCTCCACACACTTGACACCCGCTGTCTTCTGTTACAGCTGCTTGCAATAAGCTTCTCCTCACTGGGGATGGTTGGGGCTGGAGTCATTTGTAGCTCCCTCCTGGCTAGGGTTCCTACACCATACTCTACAGTGCCTCTCGCTAGAAGTGGCTGGGACTGAGGTCTTCTACACCATTTCCAAGAGTGACTCTAAGGCCTGGTCTATGGACGAGGAACGGCAGCTCACGTCGACCTAACTATGGAAGTGTCTACACTAAAATTTAATTCCCGCTGATGTAACTGCTCCACTACACTAGACTTAATAATGCCACATTCACAGTCAATGGTGTTAGCTCAATGACGTGTCAATGCAGATACTATGTGGCTTAGCTCAGCTCTTCCTGGCTTTCAGGAGTCATCCCACAATGCCCTACGCTGACAGTGCAATTGATACAAGTGCTCCTGGTGAGGCCAAGCCCCTCTGACACAAGAAGCAAAGCACAGACATGCACTGACAACATAATTACTGTGGCAGCTGTATGCCAAGGTATGTTAGACTGACTTAATATTGCAGTGTAGACACTGCCTACTTAGGAGTCTGCCTGGAACAATTACATGCAAGATCCTTAGTGTGTTTTGCCCTAAGGGGATCGAGATTTGCTTTGATAAGGCAGATAGCAATTCCCTTTGCAGAACAGAATACACAGGTGGGATGAAGCCGACAGCAAACTAGTCATTGGGCACTTCTTCAGCAGTGCAAGTTAGCCCTGTGGCTTCAGCCCCCAGTTACCGGCCAGGATCCAGGGGGCAGGCACTTATGTTGCCCTCCTTAGGAGCACAGTGGGAAATCAGGTGTCAGAGCTGTAACAGAGATATTGTGATTTGGTCTCATTTATGCATAAAAAACTCTGCTTGTAATGGTGTCATAATAAAATTCCCCACCGGGGCCATTTGGCTGTGCAGAAAGTTTCTAATATAAATGAATGAGATGGAGCAGGGTTGATTCCTGGTGGGACTGGATGAAGGAGTTGATTCCTGGATGGGACCTATTGAAGGAGTCTTGCCAGCCAGTGCTCCTACATCATTCCTGGTTCGGTGTTGTGTGTGAAAGCTTATTCCTGAAGACATTCTCTTCCGGGGAAAATGTGCTCACAATCTGTGTGAGAATCAAAACATCAGATCAGACCCTCCCCGTTCTTCCCACCTGCCCCTCTCCCTCCCACACACACACTCTCCCCCTAACATATCAAGTGAGCTATATCCCTCCAACAGAATAAACCCATCCAAAGTTCATGATCCAATGAGCATGTCACAAAAACAGTGAACAGGTCTTACATCAGACTCATGGGTTTATCTTAAGAGAGGGAGTTTCCTTTCTCTGTCAACTTTGTGTATCATGCCTATTGTAGTCTTCTCCTATGCAGCATATAAGAGAATAGCCCATAGCAAACAAGACTGTTTAATTATTAACTCTGGACCACAGTAACCACTGTAGTCAGGAAATCCTTGGATAGCAAGTCTTCAGCTGGGATGTAGGAAATGGTTTCAGAGAGGTAAATGACAAGGCTGTGTCTTAGTTGTGTAGGAATGCTGGCAGTAAGGTTAACAAATATTTTTAGATAATGTTAAGACCAGGGAAACAACTCATCAAGATTTTAAGCTGGTTCTTTGTCATATTCAGAACAGGCTCGAGCCACAAAATTCAGAGCCAGATCTGATTTTTAAATTCTTAATTATTAAATGTGTTTAGATAAGGGATTGAGAAGTGGGAAGAGGAACAAAGTAGAATTTGGTTTAGCTTGTCGCTAGGTATTTAGAATGAATACAGACTTTTTTTGAGAGAGAATGGGGGAGAAACAAAGAAACATTGGGCCAATAAACAAGTTGAAGTAGCTTGTGTTGTGGAATATTTAATAGCAAAGTTCTGAGGCAGGTGGCTTTTGTTAAAGAAAACTACACATTACTAATACAAACAAAGTCTACACAGCAGGGAAAAAGTCGAATTAAGCTATGCAACTTCAGCTATGTCCATTGCATAGCTAAAGTCAAAATAGCTTAATTCGGCTTTTGGTGCTGTCTATACAGCAGGAAGTTGAAGGAAGAACACTCTTCCTTCAACTTCCTTTACTCCTTGTAAAAGGAAGGTCACAGAAGTTGGAGTAAGAAGTCCTCCATCTAGACATTCTTTCAAAATAACGGCTTGCTGTGTAAACGGAACATTTTTTATTTCGAAATAGCATCAGTTATTCTGAAATAACACTGCTACGCAGACGTACCCCAGCTTCCCCACAGCTTTGGTTCGAGCTTTGTTTCCTTGGCTTACCAGGAACCACACCTTTCTGGAACACTGTAAAACAGATAGAAATATCTAGTGGCTCAAAGGTGCAGTTGCTAAGAGTTAAAATGGTGATAGAATATTAGTTTCTGAAAGTGTCAGAAGAGACTTTCCCCTATGTAAAAACAGAAGGTAGGTGAGGTAAAATTTTAATTGGACCAACTGCTGTTGGTGAGAGAGACAGGTAAAGGAAAGGAAACAAAGATTAGCATTGCAATTAAAGTCTGATTTTTACTGGTTTTCTCCCCTTTTCTGTGTTTAATTAAAAATTAAAATAGTTTTAATGGTTATTGTTATGATGAGAGAAAGCCAGTGATAACTAGAACTGAAAGAATGTATTTCAGCAAATAATAAACTTTCCAAAAATGCATTTTTCATGCATCAAAATGCCACAACACTATTTGTAAATTAAAATCAATTTTAGCAAACAGTTGCAGCCAAAATAAAATGATTTAGTTCCTAAAAATACAGTTGGGCTCAAACATTGCAAAAAGTAACTTTTCAATATTTCATTTTCAAATGACATTTCATTTCAAACTTAGATTTATTTTTAAATTGTGAAAAACACCTGAAATGTAAACAAAACAACCCCTGGAGGGAAAAAAAAAATCTCATTTTATTCTAGTGTTGCATTTCAGGTGGTTTTCAGTCTTAACTGAATTTTTTTTTCATTCTGGTGAAAAACAAGAATAATAAATTTCAGTTCAAAACTACTGAAATCCTTTTTTCTTGTTTGCCAATCCAATCCGTGAGCTGAAAAAAAAAATTTCTCAGTCAGCTCCAGTGATTGATATAGAAGCCACATTTAACTGTTAATATTATTACAGTGATCAAGGTTTTCATTAACATCTCAACCCTTGTTGGGCATGACACAAACTCCTTTTAACACAACTTTCTCTTATCCCTTCCCTGATAACAATTCCATTATCACAAAGGGCTGTGCTACAGCAGAGTGCTATCCCCTCTCTCTGCTGAAACCTGAGCTATAAAGAGGTGAGCTTGGAAAGGAAGTTTAAATATTCGCATGTGCTGTAGGACATGCGATACAATACCACACTACTTGCACCCACGCACAGAGACAGGAATCAGCTGCAGAGCATGAGACAGCAATACAGCTAGGCGGGTGTTGTAATAAGTTACCCGAAAACCTATCTGTGTCATCACTGAAATATTACATAGGGCCAGATGCGGAAAAAATGGAATGCTGGAAAACCCTACCTGACTGTAAATCTCTGCTGAAAGGGATGCTAACACAGAAGGAGACAGACACAATAAAACAGCTGCTGTACATTTTTATACTTGCCCTAAAACTCCTGAAGAATGCTAATGAGATCTGAGGAAAAGTTCAGAAAGCAATCTGAGGGGGAGGGGGAACCCAGTTATTGATGCTGCAGAATCACTGCAGCTATATAGTGCATTTTATACTGAGCATGATAAATAGGAAGAGGAAGAAAGAGCTGAAGAATTAATGAATAAGTGCAAAGATCATTGTACCCTGCAAAAAATGTTAGCAATTAAAGACTTATTTTCTTCAAAATGGGGAAAAGAAAACAGGAAACTTAAAGAATCAGACCCTGATTCTCCATAACACTTAAGCACCTTTATGCTACTATGTGAATTTAAAGATATCTTAAAAGTTGCAGAAATGACCCTCTAATAATACCTCTGCACTAAGGGCCTCTCCTAGAGAGGTGGATTGGGCGTGTGAGGCCACTGGCCAGAATGCATTTAGAGCCATTCTCTCCTTTTCCAAGGGCTATATGGAATGCAACACAAAATCTATCTTAGAGCAGCTCTGAGGCTGCTCTAACCAATACAGGGAAACAGACAGGCCCATGCACAGCCTCAGAATATGAAGAGGCAGCTTAACACCCCCCTTTGTCTCTGTCCTTCTCAACTCCAAACACAGATATTCAGAAAAGGAGAATCAGGCCCACAGTATTTGAATCTGGAATATTAGAAGACTGTCTCAATATAGGCCAATTACCTTTAGGATGCAGCAATGAAAGACTACTTCAGGGGTTAGGCATGACATTTGAAAAGGCAATATTCATAAGGGAAATGTTACCACTGTCCCCATTTTACAGATGGGAAACTGAGGAAGAGGAAGATCAAATGACTCACTTGAAGTTACACAGGAAGCTTATAGCAGAACCAAGATCTCCTTTTATTATAGCCTAAGCCCTTCACCACAAGATTAATCTCCCTGTGGAAGTGCGTAAGAGGTTACAAAAAATAAAATAGCAAAGGATTCATCATGCCAAACAAAGAGTGATGCCACAGTAATGTGGGATCTTGCTGGAGTATAGAAAATGCCCAGTATTTGGACAAATGTATAGAAACTGCAATAAACCAACCAAAAAAAATTAAAGAAACTCCAGACTGAAAAGGGTGGTAATAAACATATATAGACGCGGTTAACATGTGGCAGGCAGAGCCTGTGTTCCACCTGGTATAAAGAGGCACAGAGTCATTGGTTGCACTGGAGTAATCCTGATTTCAGTGGAGGGTGTAACCCCTGAAACAGACACAAGTAATACACATAGGTTGAACCTCTAAAAACTGGACTCTCGGGTCCAGCAATTGAGATGTGAGGATGAAACCCTAGAAAGTATGTCTTCACACAGCTGTGCACTGCTTGAAAACAGCCCAGCCATGCATGACAGGGCTCAGTCATACAGCCTGAAACAAAAAGGTTAAAAACCCATGTGGTCTCATAAACCTGGAGGACACAGGAACACCATCTGACCTACGTGGTTTATCTGCTCCACCCTGTGATGCCGAAGAAGCAATAAGCACTTCCGCATAGCTGCCACTTTATCAAGCCCATCTGTGCCCTTTGAGTCTGATCTGGAATGCCCTAGGACACAGAGCTGGTCTACTTCTGTGCAGCAGAGCATGCAGTGTGTCATGCCAATGGCATGGCAAGCTAAAAGGCTGTTACTTTGTTTTGCAGACGGAAAAGGTTTTGAACACTCAAATAGGTTCTTTTAGCAGGTCAGATGAAGAGATTAGGTGCCTCAGCAACAGAACAATGCAACAGCTAGGGATGTAAACACTCATTTTAAAATGTAACCATGTAACAGCTAAATCCTAGTGGTTACACAGTTATATGTGCTACGAGCTCTGTAGTAACTTTATATATAAACTTTATACTGCAGAAACCACAGCGAAGTCAGCTCTCCCGGAGCAGGACCTGCTGGCCCCTCCTAGGAGTCTTTGCTGCAGGCTCTGTGGTGGGGTCCACCAAGGACAGGGGCTGCTGTAGCTGGCTGTCCAGAGCAGCCCTGCCTGCGATGGACCCTGTGGGGCTGACAGCTGCTCCAGCCCCTACTAGTTAACCAGTACTGGTAAGCCTCATTGTTAAGGTTAACCTTTTACATCCCTAGTATCAGCTGGAGCCTGGTTCTTGCACACATTTCAGAAAAAGCATCAATAACGGTACATAGCACTAACAGAGCATCTGGGCCTCCATCCAGCAAATCACTCAAACATCTCTTTAAGCATGTGGGTAGACCCGTTGATTTCAACATGCTTCAAGAAGTGCATTGCTGGATAGGAAGTTTAAACCTCCAACAGCATGGGAGGTAGGACGAATGATTTTATCCTTGTTTTGCACATAGGTAAACTGAGGCCAGAAGACAGGCAGAGTTACCTGTGAGCACAAAGGAATAAGGACTAGGATTAGAACAAAGGACTTCTCATGTGCAAAACCCTGGACCACACCAGTGTCTCAGGTCATGACTCTAAGCTTAGCTCTCACCCTGAGAAATTTTCTAAAAATATCCCATCATTGATAACATCAGTTCACAATCCAAAAATCTTCATGGTTTTCGGAGCCATAGTCTTAATAGGCTATCAGATAAATCCACATGCTTGCCTTGCAGCATTTGATGGCTTAAAGAAAGAAAGAACGAGGAGCAGGGTTCCCTGTGATCATTTCCATTCATGTGCAGAATAAATTTTATGTGCACTGAAACATGTTCACCAACAGTCGAAACAAAAACCTAACTGTGGGCACTCTGCTAATCAGCTGGGCAGCATCTGAATCTTTCCTGAGTGGCTGCAGACACAGTGTACAGGGAACACTGGTGGGGAAATACATATGGTATTGGTTTCAATGGAAGTTAGGAGCCAAAATACCTTTGTGGATTTAGACCAGAGTTTTTTATTTTCTTTATGGTCTGCAGGAGCACTCCTATTGCTACTAACAGTAAATGAAGCTGAACTGTTGTTAGGTAGCCAAAGTGTCCCTAACAAATTCTCTGTCACCTTGGCTCCTTATATAGGAGCCCAAGCCACAGTTTTGGATATTCCACTGTGCGTGTATATATATATATATATAACGAATTACTGGTATTCTTGGGTAGGTGCATGTAATTATTGGTCAAAATGATGACAGTTCCATTTTCAAGGGCCATGAAATGAAAGGGCTGAAAGTGAGTTATAAATAACTGAATCTAAAACCAGAAGAAATTGCAGAAATATCCAAACAAGCCACTGCAAAAGCAATTGAGCAACCCAGCTGCCCTCTGGTTCTGAGATTATCATTGCCTTTTCATTAGCAACCTGGCTGAGCCCAGAACCTGTCATTACCAAAGCAGTGCCCTGGGATCCGCCCTAAAGACCTCTTCTACCCCCTGGCACCGTGCCATGCAGAGCTGCCTGGGAAATGAAGTCTCAGCCTTCTTGTTTACATTGCAGAGAGGTTGCCTGTGAGCTGGAGATGACTACGAATCCCAGCATGCTATGGGGGTTTTGTGAGCATGGGCACTACCACATTCATTTCTGTTTTCTGCCAGGGATCGGAAACATAAAAGGCGAGGCAGTGTGTTTTTTAAAAATTTGGATGCTGCTACCACTCCTGGGACAAGCTTTACTGGAAAGTGGAGGGAGCACACACAGTGAGTTTGGCTTTTATGTGTCTATAGACAGCTCTTGTACGGTGCCCTGAGGCAGTTTGTAAGAAACATGCTCTTTCCCGAATGAGCGTGAATGAGCTTCCAAGCTGTGTGCGTGTGTTACTGTAACTGTGTGTGTGCAGGGATGCTGGAGGTGCAGCAGGACCTCCTGGCATGAAGTGGTTTCCATCACATACAGGGAGAGGTTTACAGTATAGGTCAGTGCCTTTCAGCATCCCTGCTGTTTAAATTGTGCCGATGCCCTCTGTGTGCAGTAGTAGAACAGTAAGCTGGAAATAGCAAACTTCCTTTTAGACAGAACAGTTTGAAGGGGGGGAGCAGAGGCAAAGTCCAACATCACTGGTAGGAACAAAGTAACATCACAGATTCTAAGTGCTAACTCTACACTGATACATTACAGCACTGTAACTTTCCAGTTTCAGACAGGCAAAACTGACAGGGACTTCTTGAATTTAGTGCATGAGCCTCTACTGCTTGAGCCAAGAGCTAGCTAGCTCTCAGCTAAGGCTGTACCATACACTCCCTCATTCTCTGTGTAAGTGATCTAAGTACCACTACATGGGACAGTAAGCATGTTAGTTCTATCACGAAGTGTAGACACTTCCATCATTGATGGAGGGATTTTGCGTGGATGTCACTGTGTCTGCCATGTGCGGTAGGTCAACCTAGCTATGTGTACGGAGCACAGCATTTTCACAGCCCAGAGCTGTGGCGCTATGTCAGTCTCATTTCCGAGTGTAGACTTGGCTTAAAGGGACCTATTGTTGCTTCAGTCCAGCTGCTGAAAGAGGAAATTGGATCTGTTTGTTCTGGTTCATTTCTCTTTCCTTTTCAGCTGATCTGATTAGACCTACATTGCCTACTTTAGTGCAAGCTCATGGTGGGAAACCTCTCTTGCTGCTACGGGTATATAACAATATTCTTCTACGTTGGAATAGGAGGATTGATTTTAATTCTCCTATAGATACACAAATCGAACTTCTAATGGGCATCTCCCTCCAGCATTCAGTAACCTTCCATGCTGTTGTAGCATCAAAAAGGGGCTTGTGTCTGTGCCTTGTACCAGTTCATGGGGTGTTCATAAAACATTGTGTTTCAGTGGCTGTTTACATGTGACATAGGATTCACTGCCTTTGTCTTCAGGCCAGGTTTCCCCTCCAAGAGCTGTGAGAGCTGCAAGTGTTTGATATATCCTTAGGCAGGTCTTCTGTAGCCCATCTACTACAGTACAGTGCTACTCACATGCACAGTTCACAGTCAATATACCAGCCAACCTAATGGATGATGTGTCCCCTCCAGTAGCTGAGAGAATGTACCAGTGTCATTAAACTAGAGACTTTCACCTTGATTGTCATTGATTTGAGACCTAAAAGTACCTCAGACCTGGTAAGTTATATTCTATGACTTTGCTACCTGGAGTTATAGAAGCATTTGTACAGCTAGGGTGGAGCTCAAGCACTGAGAAGCTGTTGTTTATTCACAAGCAGGCATATATAGCAACCCACAAACCACTTGGGTTGTGCAGACCGCTCCGCTGAAATCCTTCCAAATAGGCCCTGATCTAACCCTCTACAGTGCAGAGTCATCCCAGCTGCCTGCCTGTGGCAATGCTGGCAGTTTCATATGCCTACTTTAACCACTGATACACTGCCTTTCTGTACTGTCACCTTGTTCCTCACGCCAGTCCCCACCCTCTTTTAGCCATGTATCTCCCTGCTGAGTGTTATCCCAACCCTCAGCTATGTGCTTTCTTGATTGAGGACAGTAAGTGCAACTGCAAGGCTAATGCTGTTCTCATAGTGGAGTGATACAGAATCCGTTCCAAAGAGAGTGCTTCCTGGAGTCAATAGGAAGACTGCCATTGATTTAGGAGCTGGATAAGGAGCTCCAAGTGCCTTCCACATTCGGGTTTATTGCCCCTCCTTGGGGGATGAGAAGAAGATACCTGTGAGGCATGTTAGCATTTCCCTCATGGAGAGCCTGATCTGATACTTAGGCTGTGAGCTCTTTGTGGCAGGGATTGGCTTTTTATTCTGTGTTTGTACTATGATTAACACAAGGGGCCTGTGCCCCTGACTGCTGGTATTTGTGTGACTGTAGCACCTAGAATCCCCAGTGATGACAACAACCCTGTTTAATGAATTAGCTGCAGATTTTTGGGCAGCTCTATTCTGGGGCAGGGCTCTCCGCTGTAGTGGGGGACCTATAAAACAAAGTGCGTATGGTGAAACATGTTTGCCCAGTGAAATAACAAGGTGATTGAGTTGCTAATAATGAACGTGTTGAATGTTTTATGATTGGCTACAGCAAATAGTGAGGAATTGACTTAATCTTGTCCTCCTCCCCTCCCCCCGCCCGCCCCCTGGTGCTGCAGACTGGAGTGAGCAAGTGAGCCCAGCTTCTCTCTACTCCAAGGAGTAGCTTTACTTTTAGGTCCTGTTTGGAGCAGGTAACCTTAGCTCTGTGTGAGGTATATTCACTGCATCACATTCCCACTTTTTATAACCATGAACAATTCACATTCCACAGGCTGAATCCTAATTCCCATCTTACAGAAAATTGTCCCTGTGGTCTAGAGAAGTACAGCACCGCATAATGGTAGAGCACCACTAGGACTTCACTGAAATGAATATAATGGGACTCTTTATTCAGGCTTCTAGCCACACGTAGCCCTTGTTACTAGTTCTCTCTGACCTTCTGCCTCTCAAACACTGAGCACAGACTGTACTGATCAGTTCTATTACAACAGGGCCTGGCTTGTGTTTCTTACAATTCTGATAGGGTTTGCTGACAACAACACATACACCAATATAGGCTTCTCATTGACTCTGAGTCACATTTTTCAAAGGGGTCTCCGTCCTCTCTGAAAGTTTTCATCCAGATTGTTGCTTGTACTGTCTTTCTGCACATGCAGTTGAGCTAGCTACACATCTAACCTTCTGATTTGTGTGTGCACCCTTTGGTTTCTAACTGTGCAAAAAAAAAAAAAGACTTGCAGCCCCCTAAATAGGGGGTACAGGAAAGATCTGAGATATGTTGACATTGCTTATCATTAGACCCTGGTCACTTGCAAGACATGGTTGGAGGGGCTAAGTAAATACAGTAGTCTTGTTCTGCTGGAGGAGGGGAGGTAAAGATCTGTGGCTTCTGTTTCAAAATCCCTTTTATTGTTGGTGTGTGTGTGTTTTTTTTAAGGAAGGAGGCATTTCGAAAAGGGGTTTATGGCTTTGAGCTTATGTGTCAATGTGAGTTCCTCCTCTGAGAGACTGCCTTGGAGCAGCAGAATAATAAGATAGATTAGACCTAGCTGAAAAGTGGATTTGTTTTCTATGGAAAATCTTTGTTGTTTGGGAAAAAAAGCAAAATATTCCAATTCTGAAATGCCACAACAATGCATCATGGGAATTGTAGTTTGGGTGCTTCAGGCTCCTGTTCTATGGAGCTCAGCCTATTGAGGTGAACAACAGTTCCCATGATGCACCACAACATTCCTTCATATTTTTGCTATCCATTTTTTTGTTTTGGGTGTGTGTTTGTGATCTCCTACAGACTCACCCTGAAGTCTGATATAGATTTGCACAGTACATTTTCAAAACTATATTTTCAGCTTAGGAAAATAACAGGTTGACAAGCTTAATTCATTTCCACAGATTTATGGACAGCTTCCATGCCTACTGCACCAGCACTTTTCCTCATACTGAGAGAGAGAGAGAGAGGATCAATTTTTGTTCTGATTTATACCAGGGAGATTTCAAGGGATATTAATTAAGGCAGAATTCAATGTATTTGACCCCAATCTTATCTATATATCGCACCCAACACTCTCAACCCTGTGAGTTAGAGAAGTATTATCCCTGAGGTAGAAGAAACTTTAAGAGACTTCTTCAGGCTCATACTAGTAGTTTGACAGAACCAGTCCTTGAACTGAGATCTCCTAAATTCCTATCCACTGCCTCATCCCAGTCTCTCTTATGGTTTACAATATAAAGTATTAGCCCTAATAAATACTATGTACAGAGCCCTCAAATGCAAAAGTCCACTTTTTATCACCTATTCTGTTGTCTGACTATTTTTAGTGACTAATTCTGATTACTGGGTTTTGGACCTTTCCTAAATATCAGATCTGGTCTCGGCTGGGTAGGAGCCAATTTTGGATAAATTTGGTCATGATCGGATTAGACTTGAATGGTTAATCAGACTTTTATTCTTTGTTCCTACTCCAGAACTATTAGCCTTGGAAACAGCTGATTGATTAATATTTCCATGCCATTTCTTAGTTTAAAATGTGAAAAGAATAAAACATCTTGTGAATCGGAATGTGATATAACATGGTAGTCAAAGTTTAATAACTTATTTTCTGTTGTGTGAAGTCAGAGATAGAAGATGGCAGAAGTTGGAAGCACCATTATAAACACCAATGTGAAACAGGTAAGAAGTTTTTGTCACACCAGTTGATATCCCATATTCAAGTGCTTCCCCTTGGTGTGATATTCCAAAAATGCCCCAGTAAGGAGGAGCAAGATCTAGGAATCTGAACACAGTAATGGGAGCTAAGAACTCTCACGTCTAATTCTGATTTCAGGGGAAGCTAAAATGTTCATATCTCTGGGAGTGTATCTACACTGCACCCTTAGCTCGAAATAAGCTATGCAGTTTGTGCTATGCAAATGTATTTTGAAATAGCATGTTATTTTGAAATTTGGTGCTGTGTAGACAGTGCCAAATTACAAAATAAGCTATTTCAAGACCTCCCTTAACCCTCATGGAGCGAAGGTGACTGGGATGCTGAAATAACAAGCCGCCCATTATTGCAAAATATTTTTTGAAATAACGGGTTGCGCTAAGATGCGGGGTAGCTATTTTGGGATAGTGTAGCTGTATCCTGGGGGTCTACAGAATACCTGCTTTTGGACATTAAATGAAAGCCACTCAGTTTTCAGAACTGCTGACCACCTGCAGATCCCAGTTAAATTATAGGAGCACTGTGTGGGGAACATCATAGGATTGAACCACTGGATGCCTAAAAAGAGAGTGAGACTGATTCACTGGAAAAGCCTGCTTTTGCAGTGGCTGAAATGAAAACTCACAAGTGATAGCTTCCATGAAGAACGTTATTGACTTGTTGTTTTTGCAAGGCTGGAGACAAACTGGGGTGAAAAATGCCTGTGAATTTAAGTGGGGCCAATGGTGTGCAATGAAGCTAATCTGTGTTGGCAGGAAAGAGTTCATCCTGGTCAGCACATATATGTAACAAGTAAGCTGTTGGTGGAATAGGTGTCTATCCCATATCTATTTCTATCTGGTCAGATCACAGTGTGCAGCTCTGTTCATGCAATAGCTTCCACCTGAAACAATCTTAGTCCCAGCTGTTGTAATGTGTAAGATTTACACACCCTCTAGGCTCTGAATGGGGGAATTCCACTAACTGGTGAAGTGCATGGTCAGTGTGCCCCCACCAAGGGCAGACAACACTCACAAGTGAGCAGCGAAGCTGTGTAGGGCACCACCAATGTCATAGAGGTGCTAAAGAAGGGCTGGACAGAAGCGGTCAATCACTGTGCTTGCTCAGATCTCAAGCACTGAACCCCATCTCTGTGTTTGGCTGCCTGTGGTGGGGGAAAGGGAGAAGGAGCAATTGCAAGGCTCCCCCAAGTTGGCTGTTTTTAGGAGCCCAGGAAGTGTCTGGGAGAAGGGAGATGATGCTGGAGTCTTGGCAGTTCCCACGGCTCCTTTGCAGCACCCTCTCCTGGTTGACCATTGCCATCTGTCTTTTAAATCCACTCTTCTCTTCTTTTTGGCTCACCCACTCCCCACTGCAGAAAGACCCAAATGAGGCACTGGTCATCGCTGTGACCACCAGGGCCATCTTCAACCTGGAGGAGGAGCATAAGCTATTCCTGACAAAGGGCAAGGAAGAGTATGTGAAGCACCAGCAAGCAAATGAAGATAAGCCCCTGGAGCAAGGTACAGCCTTCGCTTTCATTCAGGTGAGATGCCAGAAACGGCCTCCACAGGAACTTGGTCAATAGAATCATAGAACTGGAAGGGACCTCGAGAGGTCATCAAGTCCAGTCTCCTTCCCTCACGGCAGGACCAAGCACCATCTAGATCATCCCTGACAGGTGTCTGTCTAACCTGCTCTTAAATATCTCCAGTGATGGAGATTCCATAATGCCCCTAGGCAATTTATTGCAGTGTTTAACCACCCTGACAGTTGGAAAAAACTTCCTATGGCAAGGTACAGCTTTCACTTCCTTCAACCCTTGTGCTCTTTGGCTGGGGTATCTCTCTGTGATTAAGGCAAATGATGGGGTCTCACTCAAGGGGAGGCATGGCCTCTGCTTTCATTCAAGTGAGATGCTCTGGCCCAAATTCTGAAAAGCATTTAGGTGCCTAACTCCCAGGAAAATCAGTGGGCATTTTAGGCACCTAAATACTTTTAAAGGCTGGTCTTTTTCCCATAACCAGGAGAGACTGTGGCTCTTCTCAGGTTGAGATGCTTCCAGTCTTAGCTTTTATCAGTACAAGGTGTAGTCTTTGCTGCAGTGAAGGTGAGGTGCTTTGTTCAGACCTTCATAAGACATTGACTCTTAGCTCTCATTTAGGCCAATGAAATATGCATGAGTTGTGTGTGGTGGTTTTTTTTTTTTCTGGTTTATGGAGGGATACATTGCAGACACAGTGTCAGTAACCAGACTGGCCATGGCCAGCTTGGATGGCACCACATCACTGTGGTATTTTAACCATTATTTAGTGTTTAAAGTGTAGATACCAGCCCTCCTGCCATACCTAGGATGGCAGAGAAATTGTAAGGTATCAAGGAAAACCTATGAACTCCGTATGATACTAGTTTCCTTATCACAGCCATCTTAGTAACCTTACCTAAGAAAGAGAGACTATTAGAGACAGAGCAACATCAGCACCGTAGAGTGACTTCTTGAGCAAGGATATAACAGCAGCAATTTGGAGGGAAGATGAACCAGCAGAGTTTGGTGGTATCTAACAGCGGGTAGGCAAGTTGAATGGTACATCTAATAGACAAAATAAGCCAAATTCAGACTCAAAGGATCACCATACCCTTTTCCAGCAACATATGTTAAGTCAGACTACAGGCCCAGAATAAGGAATTTTGGGAGAGAGCATTCCCATGGCTGGGGAGAGATGTAGGCCATGGAACAATGCATGCTGGGAAAGGGGCAAGGGTAGGTGGAGGTCCCTTTCCATCTGTGTGTGAGAGTGGGGAGAGAATAAGACTTGCTGTAAGTCTCCCTGCTAGGAGAAAGAGAGGGACTGTAGGAGAAGGACAGGAGCTCCAGGTCTCTCTGGTCAAAGGCCCTGGGAAGCGGCCCCAGAGAGGACTGCCAGAGGGTGGGGTGAATCACCCCAAGAAGGGGTGCCTGTGGCAGAGTGAAGGAAGTGGGATGAAAGGAGAACTGAAGTGGGGCCAGAGTTGGTGGTTTGGACCCCTGACGCCTGCTTCTCTGTCGAGAGCCCGAAGGCTGGCACTTGTGCCCTCTCTTCCTCAAACCCCTGTGAGTCAGAGGGAGCAGCAGAGCAAGGGTGTTGCTGTTGTACCCAAGAGAGGAGAGGCGATCAGCAGACCCACAGCAGAGGGCCGTGTTGCAGGGAAGTAGAATGGGAATTATTTTGGACTCCTTGCTCTAAGGGGTGGGTTTCTTTGGTTAAGCCCGGGGGCATAGCCACAAGCGAGTCTCACATGGAGGCTCCTGCCAAAGCATGGGGACTTGCTGCTCTCTGCCCAGTGCTGCAGCTGGGCCAGGGGAGTGGGGTAGGCGCACGGGGCTTGACCTGCTCATTGCCCAGTGCTCCTGACAGACAGGGAGCAGAGTCAGGGCAGGCAAGCCTTCGTCCCCCAACCTGACTCCACTGACCAGCATTCCCAGAGGGGGACCAGGGCTACCTAACCCCACTGCCTGGAGCACCGGGCAGGTGGACAAGCAAACCACTTCCCTGACTCCTGTTCCTGGCAGGAGAGCAACAGGAAGCAAAGCGGGAGGGGATTCAGAGCAGATTTTTATGGGGGCTTCCATTTTTATAGGGTCCCTGGCCAGAGCATCTATCCCTTCCCCTCTTCCAAGGCTCATCGAGGGACGGGAAGTGGTGGTCCCATGACTGCTACTCCCTGTCATTGCCCACCCATCTGTCCCATTCTGGCTATGCCACTGGTTTAGCTGGAGGCATAAAGTGCCAACATTAAATTACGGAGAGGGCAGCTGAGACAGTGCCCAGGTAACTATGGCAACCAGAAGGCCACTATTAAAATTGTCTCGACTAGCGTAAGCCCAGGGTCAGAGCTCTTGGTGGTGGAAAGGCTGCAGCATTCCCGCTGCATCCAGGACTCTGCACAGAAGTGACAGAACTAGAACAACCTGGGGGCACACTGATGTTAGCCTGTTCACTGCAGGACTCCTGTCATGCCATCCCCTCCAGAGCAGAATTCCTGAGGGAAAGTACATGGCAGTGGTTTTCTCTGATCTTCTTTGTGCAATTTCCCCATTGGGTGAAAAGAGCCTCTGTCTTCCACATGACCTAAAACCAACAAGAGCGATTCTGTCCCCTGAATGGAGGGTGATAGGGGTGCTGGAAACTATGTGGCAGCCGATTGCGGGTGCATTTGTGAATACACAACTCAGAGAACATCCCTTTGTAAAACTGTCTCCTGTATTTGGCTGCTACCTCCAGGCCGTGCAGTTTGTGAATCAGAAACTCCTGGAGAGAAACCCAGAGGAGAAGGCCCTCTTTGATGTCATCGTCCTGTCCAACAACAGCCCCGAGAGTGGCATGCGCGTCGTCAATAGTGCTAAGCAACATGGTAAGGAGAGCCCACCGTTTGCTTGAAGTCAGCCCACATTCAGTGAATGGGGGACCACTGTCCTCCAGTCCTCCAGAGATTGCTCTGAAATAGCTGAGGAAGTGGGTCAGTGGAGAATACCACTTTTCCCCAGACTGGTGTGTGTGGAAGGAGAAGGGCAGAGCCTCTCTGGGGTGGTAGCACAGAAAGAGGGGATATTGCAGGAAATAGCTGGCACCCTGGAAAGGATGCTGTGTCTGTGTGAGAGAGAGAAGGCATGCAGATATAACAGTGTGAGGGACATGGTGTTGGGGTGACAAGGTAAGATAGTAGTGGCTGTGCTGAGGGTCACTGAATTGGTGTAAGGCAGCAGGGAAGGGGCATTGCACTGATCTCTGGAGCAGCTCTCGTCCTGGGAGGGTCATGACCTGTGTTCTTTCTAAACTGCACCACAACACAGCTTCACAGGTGATTAACCAGCCCTGCCCAGTCAGAGGCTCAGTGCTCCATGCAAGTAGCTGACTGACTGACTGGGTGAGGCTGATTAATCACCTGTAAAGCTGTGCTGCCCCACAAGTAGAGGGAACACTGGTCAAGACCTCAGTTGCACAAAGGGAGGCTGCCATGGCAGGAGATCTTTCAGTGGGAATGGGGAGGAGAGCACAAAGCAGGCTGGAAATAAAAATTAAAGTTGTTTTTTCAGCTGTGCCACTGATTCACTGGGTGATCTCTACACTTTGTTTTTCTGCTCAGTACCTCAGTTTTCCCCTCAAGCGGGGATGGTGATACAACCCTCCTTTGCAAAATGCAAATGTACAAGAACTAGGTGTGTGATTTCATTTGCTTTTTCTGATAAGGTTTGGAGATCTCCAAGTTTTGCTTCGTCAGTGATGAAGATTCCACCCAGTACTTGAAATCCCACAATGTCAAGCTCTTCCTCTCGGCCGACAGGACGGATGTGTGCAATGCACTCCAGCGAGGTGTGCTTTCTCCCTCTCCTTCCATATCTAGCCTGGGATTTCATTCTTACACCTGAACCCTGTGCTGCCTCCTGCCCGTCACTCCCCCCCCCCCCCCCCCGCACACAGAGAAGTGCTTCTGGGATTGATCTTGATACATTTGGTTTCAGCCTGGAAAAAATTCAGAATTAAGCAGTTCAGGAGTTTCTAGAAGGCACCATAACCATCTTGTGACTGCAGGGATGGTACATGCCAAATGCACTATTTGGCCCCAAGTACAACTGGGCAAGTAATTCATAATCTGCTGCTGAAGATTCATTTAAAATTAAGCATATGCTGCAGTTTCCCCAATAGGATTGGACATAAACATGTGCTTAACCTAAATCAAGTTGTAGGAGTCTTTCCCATGACTTTATGGATGATCCAGCCCAGACTTTTTCGTGAGCATTGGTGGTTTGACTGGGTCCTCGCCTAGCTATTGTGGTTCCTTCATTCAGGCACAGTTCAGTCAGTTTACGTCTGAGTGAGAAATCTCTTCTTTGCAGTGAGGTAAAACCATAAAGCTGCCTGACTGCTTAATGTTTCCATTTCTTGGCTATAAGCCTAGTATGTAAGGTTGGGTTGAGACCCCCTTTTCTCCAGTGCTGGAAGAGGGTCATCGTTAGACCAGCTGCATAAAAGAAAACAGGGGAGGTGCCAGTCAATTCCACCAGCTGAACCCAGTGAACATATCTGGGTTAGGGATGTCACTGTGTAGATGACTACACGATTAACCAATGACCCTAAGCTTATCGGTTAGTCTTGTTGATTTCACACATACACTCCTCCTCCTCCCCCCCC